GAGTTTAGGGCTGTTGTACATAGGGTCGCTGTGAGTCACAAGCGACTCGATGACACATAACAACAACAACAACAATGCAATATTCACTATTCGAGGCCACCAGTTGCTCTGCGGGAGAAGGATGGGCAGCCTCCTCTCTTGCCGTTAACTGACTCTGACAACCTGCTGGAGGATCAGCTGTGGGTTGGTTTCAACTCAATGGCATGTAACAACTGAGAACTTAAAATTCTACTTTTCTAATGTCCCTAATCCTCAATTTTTTTACATTGCTTAAAATTCCATGAGTGAATAACGAAAAGTATGTATTTAAACTTTTTCTACATTTTCTTTTAAACATGGTATTTATTGTAAAAATACAGGGTTTTTTTAAAAAAAATTTTATTTTATTATTTGTGTGTACCATCACATCAGATCTGACTGATACAGGAGGGGATTGTCCCTCCTTCCCCGGCAGAACATCTGGTGGATTCAAACCGTGCGCCTCTGAGATTGCAGTGCAGCTTCTTGCCACTAGGGTAAAATATAGTTTTATACCCTCTACTTGTTTTGGTAGGGAGTCCTGGTGGCCTAGTGGTAAGGAATTGTGCTGTCAACTCAAAGGCACACAGTTCGGCTCTGCCAACTGCTCTGTTGGAGAAAGACGGCAGTCAACTCCCGCGCAGTTCACTGCCTCGTAAAACCCACTAGAGGGTCATCTGTAAGTCCAACCCAACCCAGCAGCACACAACAACAACTCAATTTGTTGGGGGTGGTGTCAGTTCCCGTGAGTGCATTTCAGCTCAGGAAGCCCTTGCGCAGATGAGAGAGCAGCGATGTGCACTGCAGAGCCTTCAAGACCGTGACCTTCCAGAGGCCAATGGACAGGCCTGTCTTCCAAGGCCCTGCTGGGTGGGTTTGAACCAGCAACCTCTCTGCTAGCAGTGGAAATGCTTAACTGCACCTAAGGACCTGTGCGACTCATCACCTTTAATTGTAAAGAGCAAACATTACTTTCTGGTCAAATATTTGGTTACAACTTTCACATTTGTTATCAACTTTCTACTGATATTCTTTGCCAATCATTTCCTTTCCTTGTTCCTTAGGTTTGGTGTTTGTTTCCTGTATCAACCCAAAGCTGGTTGGTGTGTTTTGGTTACTTCTCTTTTGAGGAAGGTGTGTTTAAAAGCTGGCCCAGCTCTTTGGATGGATATGCAGGTGGTGGGTGGGGGCAGGGTCCTGTTTCCACCTTAGAACTTGGTTTTGCGTGTCTCCTCCTCCACTTTCTGAGCCAAACAGCTGTGAGGCCCACTTAGCCACTGCTCAAAGGGCTTCCTGCAAACATGGCTGTCCCTGGGACTAGGTTCTACCTCCTGCTTCTCAGAACTAAACCATAAGCACTATCAACTGCGATGATAAAGTAGGAGGAGTCAGCTCTTTTACACACACACACACTTGCACATCACTCCCACATGGACCCTTTCCATCGCCATCCTCCTAACACAGTTGGATAATTTTTTCATTCTGAGCTCCAGTGACCCAGTCGTAAGGAGCTGCGCTGCCAACCTGAAGGCTCGCTGTTCAAATGCTACCATTTGCTCCACAAGGGAAAGATGGGCAATCTCCTCCCGTATGCTTAAGCGAGCTATGAGCACACACTGGAAGATCAGCTATGAGGTGAGCTCTGGTGGCCTCATGGCAAGAAGCTGCACTGCAGTCCCAGAGACGTGCAGTTCAAATCAACCAGACGCTCTGCTGGAGAAGGAGCGGGCAATCTCCTCCTGTACCAGTCAGATCTGATTTGCCGGTACACACACAAAAATAATAAAAAAGATCAGCTATGAGTCGCTTCTGACTCAACAGCACACAACCACCTAGTTTCATAATGATATGAATGCTTCAGACAGCCACGTCATGCACTTCTTTCCTCTTCAATGCCTTCTGTCTAGACTATTACCTGTGTTTGTTGTTGTTGTTAGGTGCTAGGGAGTTGGTTCCAACTCACTGCTTCTCATATACGTTAAACTCTGTGTCCCAAGACCTGGCCTGTGCGAAGCACTCATTAAACCAGTGGGTGGGAATCAGAATTCCTGCCACCAGACTTCAACATTACTGCCCTGCAGGTTCTGTCCGTGTCTGTGAGCACGAGTGTGTCAGAGTGGCTGTCACTCGGCAAGGCCCGGCGTTGGCGGCCAGGACTTCCTAGAGCACTCTCTCCTTCTGTGACTTGGTTCTCTTACTATTTTGGGGCTCTGAGTGCTGGGACGCACACTGAAGTTGGCAGTTGGACTCCGCCAGCTGCTCCTGCTGAAGCCTTAGGTGTCCTGCTAAGCCGTTCTGCTGACGCACAGGGCCATTATGAGTCGTCGTGGCTTTACTCCAGGGCCAGGAGAGAAAGGGGAACAGCTGCGTGACAGCCAGGGTACAGTCTCATCAAATGACAGCCAGACACAGTAAGAACCCAACAGGAAACTTTAATTTGAACATATTACAGTGGAAGAGAATAATTCTTTTGAAGTACAAAAATAATTATAGAAGGTATTTTCCCTTTTGCAGGTAATGTATACTACAAAGTCTAAGGCGTGCCCTGAAGCCAGAACCATGTGTGACCCCACGAATCAGCCTGGGTGTCCTTCCACCCACGTCAGTACGTGTCAGAACAGTGGAGGTCACTGCTTCGCAGGCCTGCGGGCTCTCGAGACGTTCCACAAGTAGATGTCCTCCCCACAGCAGCAAGTGCCGGTGCTTCTCCTTCTAGACTTCATGGATGGAGCTCAATCCTACCCTCAATCCTAGAAGAAAAATTATTTTAAAGAAATGGTCTATAATTCTTGGAATTGTTCTTTTTGGAGTATCTGTGCACAAGACCGGAGAATGACAGAGAGGATCTAGTGTTGAGTTCAATAAAGGTCATTTCAGGTAAAGCCCCATCCATGGAGATCAGAAAGGACGGACTCATAGGAAGACAAACCGTGAGACAGCCAGGCTTGCCCCAGTGACGGAGGTGAGAATCCCTACGTGGTCCTCACTGACAGCAGGTCCTGTCCAGATGTCATCCTCGGAGTGCCTTGTTGGAAAGGCAGCAGGTGCACGGAGTGGTGACAGGGGACAGAGGCTGTGGCAGGTGAAGAGCGGTCAGCCATGTTCTTGGGGCGTGTCCAGCGAGGCTGGCCACTCATGCTGCATGCGCTCCGATCCCATTAGATGGGGGTCTAGTGTGACAGGAAGTGGCTTCCCAGGGGAGCCGCAGGGCCTCTTGCTGTGGTCCCAAGGCCAGGGCTCTCTCTAGATCTCCTTGGCTGCCGTCACCCCAGCCCCAGGATGTGCTGGGGACAGCAGGACGCTGGGAGCAGAGCATGTGTCAGCAGACATGCTGTGGTATCGGTGATGTGGACTCGGGCAGAGGGTCACACTGCCACCCTAACCAGCCTCTGATGGCTGGGCTTCAGAGGCGCATTATGGAACTCTATGGAAATCCCAGTAAGACAGGATGATGTGCAGAGGGGTGAGAACAAGGTGAGGCTGACAGGACCTCCAGGGGCAGACACGCCAAGGAACACAGGTAGAGGGAAAGGGTTTGCAGTTGTCCTCCAGGGAAGTAAAGACACCAGAGCACTCGGCTCGGAAGGAGAAGGCACAGAGCCCAGGTTGTAGTGCTGGTCGGATGGGCAGGCGGGCCTCCAGCCACGAGCCCCTGGGCAGGTCAGTGGCGGCACCTGAGGCTGAACAAGGAGAGGCCTGTGGCTTGGCTGCCCCTGGCTCCCCGCCGCAGGCGGGGCTCACACAGGCACAGGCCGGGCTCACACAGGTACCCGGTTTTCCTTGGCCCATTTCTTCATGATGCGGATGATGTACTCCACCTGGGTGTTCCCCGTGCTCCTGAGCAGGTGCAGCACCTCACGGAGGGTCTCTCTGTGAAGTGCAGAGACAGGGAAGTGAGTGAAGAAAAACTCACGGCCTTTCCTCCCAGACAGACAGAGCCCAGAGGCAGCACACGGGCTTGGATCCAAGCCACAGTGCAGGGACCATGGCAGTAAAGTGAGCACCGTTCCCTGGACTCCCTGTGCCTGCAAAGCTCTGCTTACACTCTACAGTCATCTACAAAGCGTGCAACAGAAAAACGAGCAAGATGTGGCAGAGGCAGAGTGAGCGCGTGCTGTTAGAAAAATGCCACAGACTAACTGAACATGGGGCCACAGTCTCCAATGGGTAAAAAATGGACCACGGAACCCAATAAAATGCCACACGTGGCATGCCAGTCCTCGGGGGACATTTCTGGCACAGGCCTCACTCTGTGTGCTCTTTCGTGGTCAGCCTCCTGGGGTCTGTGTGTGGTGGTGTCAAAGCAGGACAGCCTGTGGGCCCCTGGTCATCGCCTCCAGACACACCAGGACCTGCCTGTCCTCTCCAGTATGGTCCCCAAGCCCGACTGCAGGCCCCTCTGCATGACAAGAGGGGCCCTCCAGCAGTGCAGAGCTGCTCTCCCACTAAGCAGTGTGGCCCCGCCTAGTGGCTGCTGTCTCATTTGGTTAAGGCAGCCACCAGACACTGCGTGTCATTCTCACATTCATACTACAGAAGCCAAAGTAATGGACAATTTCCTCAAGGATATATGAGTAAATATGGAAGAGAGGACTGAAATTTGGTAAATACAAAAGACTTGTGTTTCAATTAATTGATTCACTTATTAAAACTTCTGTGGTAAATAGCAGTTGTTGTCTGTTAGTGCCATCAAGCCAGCTCTGACTCCTAGTGACCTGTACACACCAGGTGGGGACACTGGCAGGCTTGCGTCTTCCTCAGTCACTGCGGATGTGGCCCTTCCCCTTTCTCACCCACTCTCTGTTCTGCACGGTAAAGCCTCCATCACCTCAGCAAACACCCGTCTTCCCTACACCTTTCCCACAGCCTCAACTTCTTCATCCTCTCAAACAATGTCTCTTCCCTGAACAAATCCTTATCTACTTTCCTTCAGGTCTCAACTAGGCATCAGGCAGGATGGGATTTTTTTATTATTTACTTTAAACAAGCTTGGAAGCAGGAGTGGCATCCATTTCTGAAATGGCTTGCCTCTGGAAACTCTATGAGCAGTGCTCAGGCCTTTCGTTCATAGGGTCGCTATGAGTCGTCTACGACTTGAGGACACTTAACTACAACATTATTCATACATCATTAACAAGTATAGTCCATGGTGTTATTTTGAGCAAATTGAGTTTAGTTTTAAATGTTAGAATTTTTTTTTTTACAAACTAAGCTACCAGCTGCCTGATTTCCTCTAATCTGAGGTCTCTGGTTTCCCCGACTGTGAGAAGACGAGGGAAACAGAACGATCAGCCCTTAGTGCTAATGTCACCTCCACTTTGTTCTGAATTATTTGTGGCTTCAATGAAAAGACAAGAGAAGGTGAGCCCGCAGCGAGAAGAGGAAGGAGCGTGGAGCCTTAAAGGCACTGCTGCTGCTGCAAGGTCCGCCCCATGCCCAGAGCTGTGTGCATTCCATGTCTCGGTCGTCTGTGCTTTAGAATGAGCTGATTCTACAGAGTGAAATGAAAATTCTGGAAGGTAACAGATCAGATTGAAAATGTTGTTGTTATGTGCCATCGAGTCGCTTACAACTCATAGCGACCCTATGTACAACAGCCCTAAACTCTGCTCTGTCCTGTGCCAATCGCACTGTCTCTGACACTCCCGTCCTGATTACCCCAGTCACTGAATCAATCCACCTCATAGAGGGTCTTCCCCTCCTGCACTGTCCATCCACCCTCCCAAGTATGATGTCCTTCTCCAAGGACCGGTCTCTCCTCACAACATGTCCAAAGTATGTCAGACGAAGCCACAGAATCCTTGCTTCCAAGGAGCAGCCTGGTTTAACCCTCTCCAGGATGAATCTGTTTGTTTTCTTGGCAGTCCATGGTACCCTCAATACTCTTCTCCATCACCACAGCTCAAAGGCATCAATTCTCCTATCCTCCTTGGTCACTGTCCAACTCTCCGATGCATAACAAGTGATTGCAAAGACCACAGCCTGTATCAGATGCACTTAGTCTCCAGAGTGACATGATAGAAAACCTTTAAAACTGTGACACACACACACACGCCCCACCCCCCCCGACTGCTGGCTTTTCGCAGATGCTGTCCAAGCTGAGGACAGTCTCCCCATCTCCCCACGCAGTGATCTGTAAACAGAGGCGTCCCTGCGCCTGGCACTCACTTGGGCTCCCGGCCAGCCAGGATCATCTGGAAGATGCCCACGCACGCCCCGCGCTTGCCTTCCCAGTACTCAGGGTTGGGGTCCAGCCGCTCCAGGACGTCGAAGGCTTTGGCTGAATAGTAAAACTGGCCCATCTGCATGAAGCAAGGTATGGTGGGGCTTGGCAGACAAACGGTGACACAGACAGAAACAAAGCTAGACAGCATGGTGATGTCCACCCTCAGTGGGCTACTGAAGAGGGTCCCAGCACCACACTGACACCAACTCTCACGGTCACTGCTGTGGGGTCAGAACCGTCCAGCGGGTCTGCAGAGACTGCACATCCCACAGGAGACTCCAACTTCCTGCTGTGGAGCTGCTCACAGATTCAAGCCACCCCTGAGGTGCCCTGCGCTGTCATCACAACTCCCTCCAGACTACAGCCCCAGAACCCGCGCAGTGGGGTGAGGGGAGGGGGACCCCTGGTCAGCTCGAGGCCCAGTCAGACTACAGCCCCAGAACCCGCGCAGTGGGGCGAGGAGAGGGGGACCCCCGGTGAGCTCGAGGCCCAGTCAAGCCTGCCTGCTTTCACCCGTTCCCCCACGTGTGGCAGAGTCCATTGTAATCCACACATTCATCTCTTTCCATTACACCCAGATGCCGGGACAAGCCTGGAGGCTGTGACTGAAATCGGCTGTTCCCACGTGTCCTCAGCACACCCTCTAAGTGACTGCTGTCACTTGTTTCAAATTGATTCGAGCAGGTTCAACCTGACTGGGTGGTTCTCCCTGACCTTGTTTCCAAATTCCCAGAACACCTAGATGGATGGTGGTTACAAAACGGAGTCTTTTCAACACGATTCTGAAAGATTTCATCCCACATCTACTACACACATCCTTGGCTGTGTCAAAATCTCATTGATATTGACATTGGTTCTGACCCAAAGTGACCTCCACTTGGGTTCTGAGATTGCCTCATCTTCCTCCTGAAGAGCAGTGGATTCAAGCCTCTGACTTGCTTCACAGCTGAGAGGTGTAACTACACCACCAGGTCTCCTTCTTGTTGGGAGCTGGCTAATGCTCACCTCAGAGGAGTATTCTCAGTGCCTATCATAAAGCCACATTGTTTCCTGTTTCCTTGAAGCCTTCCAATTGTTAGACAGCCTTCCCCACTCCATGTCCTCCATTCCAGTCCACTACTCTTCTAAACCTCCAGCCTCCTAAACTTTAATTGTGTTCACTTTATTCTAAATCTCATGGTGAAAACACAGTTTCCCCCCTCTCCTTTCAGCTCAAATGATGTTCACGCATCATCCGTTGCCTCCTCCTTTCTTGTTCTCTTTTAAGGCCAGTACTTTTCCCATGGTCCCTTGCAGATTTTTTTTTATTGTGAAACAGCACACATGTAGAATGGTGCATAAAATAGCACTGTGGAGACCAATGACTAATTAAAGGGTAAATACAAGTGTAGCCAAGAATCGCAGATTTCCCAGCCCACGCCTGGCAGGTGCCCACCTCTCCAGGGGGCAGGGCCTCCCTACTGGCTTCATGCTCTCTGAGAGGCCTTTAAAGAAGGTAACTAAGCTTTGTCTCCCAGAATTTAATCTCTGTGATACTTTGTTGCTTCTATAAACATTATGTTTTTAACAGTCATCAAGATTGTTGCATGTAACTCTGGTTGGTTGGTTCATTTTTTT